ATTTAAAAAAATGCCAACAAGACAAAGTTTCTCTTTTTCTGTGGATTCAGAAGGGATCTTCAACATATTTTGTGTGATTTAAAGTAAGCATTATTTTAACTCTCAAGGTATGTGTATTTTCAGTAACATCTTTCCTCTTAGAACCAAAGGGGTTTTTGTTTGTTTGTTTATTTGTTTTTGTTTTCTGGTTAAAGGAATTTTAGGTTGAGGAGTCTTAAAATTGAAGCAGTGAGGGAAACTTGAGGAAGGAATTTAAATAGAATGGCTGCTATTTCCAAAGCAGAAAGGCTTCATGAGAAAAGGTGTGGAGATAGCCATTTCTTGACCAATTTTTCTCCTTTGGTGATTTGGTGGATTTTAGCAGCTCTGCTCTGTGAGATGACACTTACAGGCCTCACTCCCCCTGGCTTTTTTCCCACTATGTGTGGCAGGGAAAAAAAAAGATTTCAAGGAAATTGGACTGTTCTCTTCTCTGGGGTTTGTTGATCTGGGCAAGGTCCTTATTATCCTATGCACTTAGGGAAGGAGGAAGCAGTTCATGCCAACCATTCTCACAAGATTTTAGGGAATGGGTCAAAATTTACAAAGCACACTAATTAGTCAAGTACAAAATATTTCTTTGAAAAAACAAAAACAAATATTAAACTTCATTAAAAAACTTGAGTGTAGTGTATATGGAGTAGACTTGTTGTGAAATAGTCTCTTAAAATTTAGATATGTGAGGAAAATATTTAAAATGGAATGCACTGAGAAGACTCAAAGACAATATGATGGGCAGAGTAGGAGGGAGAAAGACCAAACTAAGATTCTCAGAGAGTTAAAGATAATGAATCCATGCACAAGAACAGATACTATACATATGCATACTAAGATGATAAAAAAAGAACGCCAAATGTAAAAATGAAGACAAGGTTTGATATAAAAGTTGGATAAATACTACAGACTGTATTGTGTTTTTTCTAAATTTAAATATTAAAACTCTAATTTCCAATATCTCAGAATGTAATTGTATTCGGAGACAAGGCTTTAAAGAAATACCTAAATTAAAATATGTCTCTTAGAATGTGCCTAATTCAGTCTGACTGATATCTGCATAAGAAGAGGAGATTAGGACATGTAGAGAGACAAAGGAAGGACCCTGTGAAGAGGCAAACCAACTCTGTTGGCACTCTGACCTCGGAATTCCAGTTGGAGACAATACATTTGTGTTGCCCCTTCTGCAGCATTTCATTAGTGACCATAGTATACTGATCAAGTAAATTTCTCAGAAAACAATAACAACAATGAAATAAACTCATACAAGAAAATAGAAAGCAGGGAACAAAAGAGCTCAAGTGGACTAAAGTATCACAAAGCTAAAATAGACAAAAGGAAAGAAGAAAAATGTAAGAAAATAAGTTTGGTTAAACGCTAAGTATAACAACAGAAAATACACTCAAAAACATGTGAAATCATATCATCGTGAAGTTTCAGAACACAGAATGAAAAGCAGCTGTTACAATCATCTGTGGTGAGAAAAAGAGCAAAAGTTGGTCACACATACAATCAGAAACCAGAATGGTGCTTAATTTCTCTAGAAGAGAAGATTTATGCGAACAAGTAAAGATGAGTAATTTGTAAATTCATTTTATTAGTTGAATTTGGTGCTATGACCATATCTTAGTAGTATTTCATGGAACTTTTCTACCAAAGTAAGAATGACTTGTTTTATGTCTAACCTAAGTTATTAAGTTATAGTAATAACCCCTAGTTAGGTGTGGAACATTCTGTTTCAGTGCTCAACAGAAATTAAAGGGAAATGAGAGGATGCACTGAATATGTTAGGTGTCAGCAGACTTGGCTGTCACCAAAGATTTATACCATTGTGCTGGCTAGATGATATTTGAATAACAGGATTCTGTTCTAAGCCACAGATCAAAAAGGGACTTTTCAGAAGACTGTGAATAGTAAAGTGAATCAAGTCCGACTAGTCATATGGGATAAAGATGAAGAAACTAAGGATACAAAAGCTGGAATAGGAATGTCTTAGGCCTAAGCTTTGATATTGAAATAATTTATTCAACGAAGACCAGAGACTAATGATTGGAAACTTCTGGGAGTGTCAGTTTGGTTCAGTAGAAGATGTATTAGTTTCCTTTTGTTTCTGTAACTACTCACCACACACTTAGTGGCTGAAAACAACAGATTTTTCATTTTACTCTTCTAGAGGTCAGAATTCTGAAATATATCTCACTTGTCTAAAATCAATATGTTGACAAGTTGCATTCCTTGTGGAGGCTCTAGGGAGAATCTGTTTCCTTGCCCATCCTAGCTTCTCAAGGCCAAAGGCATTCCTTGGCCTGTGACCCCTTCCTCCATCTTTAAACTTGGCAGTTTACCATTTCATTTCTTTGACTTGATGCTCTTGTCTTCTTATAAGGATCCCATGGTTACATTGTTCTTACCTGGATAATATAAATTAATCTCCCCATCTTAAGATCTTTAATTTAATCAGATCTGGAAAGTTCCTTTTGCTATATAAGGTAACATGTTTTGGGGATTAGGACGTTGAACTTTTGAGGGGTCATTTTTTTGCCTACCACAGTAGATAGTTTCTCACTGCCATAGTGATTTAAAGATGGAATGGGTTGCCTTAGAATTATTGATTTAGACCCATCACTGGGGATTTGTAGGTATACTAAGGGGGGCTTTAATGGTTAATTGCATTAAGTGACTCAAAGTCCTAATAATCTTGAAGTTAAAAAAAAAATCATGATTTTTCTAGATATAGAAAATTAAGTCTAAGAGTACATGTCATTAGTGCATCAAGATAAAAAGAAAAAATTCAATTGATTTGTCATTTATGATACCTGAGTTGGAATTCAAACATTGCAATCATATTTTAGAATTATGTGTACATAAATCTAAAAATTAAATAAGAGAAATGTTTGATATTCTATCATATGTAATCAACAAATGGACTACAATAATAAAAACAAGCAGTATCTTCCATTGGTCGGATTTAATGATCAGAAAACTCTTTTTAAATATTTTCTTATAACTTCAACTCATTGGTTCTATTCTGCTTTTCTGGAGCCACCACACAGGTCCAATGACAACTGTCTTATATAAGGTAGTCCTTTAACAGATGAAGAGATCTGACACATTTTCCAAGTCTATTCTTTCATCTAATCATCTGCTCTTTGAATAGGATATAGTCTTTAAAACATTTATTTTATACTAAATTATGGACTTTAAAATATATTATAAAATTGTCTTTTCAGTTTAGTCTCATTACCTTTGGTCTGTTCTGACTAATCAGCATAGTTTATCATTTTTTATTTGTTCAAAATTGGCTTGATTTTGTTTTGCTTTTGAGATCTTCTTTTCTAGGTAATTTGCCAGAGGATGGTGAGCAAAACATCATTCTTATGACACTTTTAGTTGAATGGACATCTTTATTTTGTTGTAGCAAGGATTCCTTCTTGCATTGAGTGAAAAGTTTTGCTAAATGATGTTTGACAGCATATGTTTAGTAAACATTGAGAATTGCAATGGGTGAAACACTTTTGGGAAATAAAAGATACAGTCTCTGCTCTCCAGGAATAGCTCTGAGAGTCCTGTGATACTGTGGTACTTTGCCCCATTTCTCAAGATGATTATAAACCAAACTAATTTATCAGTGATATGTGAAAGGAAGTCGCTTTCCACTGATGAAACCCAATAAAGCTGAACTCTATTGGAAGCTGTCTTCCTCTGTCTCTCAAAATGAGAAAGAATGAGGAATCAATCTTTTTTTTTTTTTAGATTTTCATCCATTTTCTTCCCCCAGTTTTATTAAATTTGCTTATAAAATACAAAGGAGAGATTTTCTTTGTATTAATATTAAGTTTGCATAATGAATACTCCACAAATAATAATGTATTAGAGTTTGAATATCTTATTGCAAATTATCTTAAACTTTCTTTTTAGTTATACATGACAGTTCAATGTATTTTGACATATATACATGGAATATAACTTCCCATTCTTGTGGTTATATATGATGTGGAGTTACACTGATCATGTATTCATACATGAACATTGGAAAGTTATGTCCAATTTATTCTACTGTCATTCTCACTCCCATCCCACTTCAATTCCCCTGTTTCCCCTGTCCAATCTGGTAAACCTTCACTCCTTCCTGCCCTCAGTCTGTTGTGAGTCAGCATCCACATATTGGAACACTTGGCCACTGTTTTTTGGGATTGCCTTATTTCACTTAGCATGATAGTCTCTGGTTCCATTCATTTACTAGCAAATGCCATAATTTCATTCTTCTTTATGGCTGAGTAATATTTCATTGTGTATATACACCACATTTTCTTTTTTCCAGGTTTAATAGTATTTTCTTTCTTTTTTTCATATTTAAACCCATGCTCATTGAATATCTCCTTTTTCATTTGGGAGATAACAGAAGGGCCTGAAGCACAACCAGAATTATTCTGGAGACAGAAAAAAATGGGGCTCAAACCTGGAGCCAGAGAAAGTTCCCTCAGACATGTAGCCCAGGCCAAGCACAAGATACTGCTGATTCCTTTTAGAAGTAAGTGAGATTTCACATCTGCTCAATTAAGGTACAAATTCTCCTTCACTTCTTACTAGATGTCCACATGGTCAGGCCTTAATTCTTAGTATTCATGTCATACTACACAGGTGCCACAGACTGGCCTAGTAGCTACAGAAGGGATTTCAGCTCTGGCATCCTGGGATTGCTGCTGCTGAAACACCAAGGAACAGCAGATAGCCTTCTACTACAGGCTAGGCCAGGGACATAGGCGGAGCCATAGGAAGTGGTGGTTGTCAGGAACTGGAAGGTCTAAGATGTGCCTCCTTACAGCTAACAAGGTAGCCTGCCAGTTTTATGATGTCCATAGAAAACATAAAAATGCCCAGACTCCAGAAACATGAGTCCTGGAGAAAGCTTTCCCAACAGCAGGCTAAGGGTATTCAGCAACTGCCATATCTGGAAAGGAGCAGTCAATTGTCTGAAATTTCTATAACCTTGCTCTGGATAGGGCAAGACAAGGCCTCAAACCATTTCAAAATTGTTCTGGCAAGCACAAGCATGGTAGAAATGCAACAGGGTCACTGCAGATCCAAGCACACTGGAGGCTTGCTATCATTGTATTTTCTTTTTGTTGTTGTTTATACTTTCAAAATTGAATATTACCCCTGAGACACAAGGACAATTTTGAATTTTCCCTTGGAGTTGCCAACATTTTTCCCCCCTGTTTTATAGGATCAATGTTAGACTAAAGGATCAATGTTAGACTAAAGCATATGATTAGGCGAAGGCATTGGTATCTACTTCAGATCAATTTCTTAATTTGGTCTTCTACTCATAATGGATATTCCATTATTTACAATTCATTTCTTTATGCTTAGCATTGACCATGCTCAGTAATCTCCTATGAATTCAGAAATTTCTAAAAAATCTCTCAGCTTCCTTTAATATGGAAATTTTATTTTCTAAGTTTTAGAATTAAGTTGTATCAGCTGATTGAAAAAGTCTTGGTCAGGAAGAAGGTGAGTTGAAGAAAAGTAAGCTGAAAGTGCCTGACATCAGCCTTTCTTTGTGCTGCCCCCTGCCCCATCTGTCATGGTTTGGACTTTGAACTCCCTGCTCCAGGAGGCATTCACAGGTAGTAACTGGAGGTGGTTGCTAAGTGAAGTTTTGGCAGCCAGGAGTAGAAAATGAATTTGTTATTTCTGAATGTTAAAAACATTTAAACATAAAAGGGCCGAAAAGTTAGTTTTAAAATATATGGAAATATATAGGTCTGCTTTAAAATATATGGAAATATGAAACCCTGAAGAAATGAACAATGTAGTGCAATTGAGTTAAGGAAGAAAAATCTACATAATTTAGACTCAGATAGTTACATGTCTTCAATTTTCTGGCTAATTTAGGTAAAAATAGAAGTAGGTTACCCCATGTTATAGAGATAATCCTGTTTCCGTTAATTGGACATTTTGTTCAGTAGAGAGAAATAATCTATTTGGCTTATTTCAGAAATAATAATTTTTACAGACCTGTCTTGGTTTTAAAATATAGTCTACTTCAAGACATATCATATATACATGGATTGTAACTTCCCATTATTGTGGTTGTACATGGTGTGGAGTTACACTCCACAAGAATGTAGTGAATAAATATTATATGATTTTTGGAGACTTTCCTAATGATTGTGAGAGACCTAGAAAGGGTCATATCACGCATCATTTTGTTTACATTCTTTCATCTCCTTTTGTTTTCCACCCCTGATTTTGAATTTTCCTTTGGAGTTGCCAACATTTTTTCCCCCTCTCTCTACAAGTTTTATCACCTTCTAATGCCAAGGCCCAAGAGGCTTGGCTCCATACCTCATTTCCCAACAAAAGCAACTCTTCCCATGAAAGGAATTCCTAAGCTAGCTGCTATGAAAACTACACTAAAATTCTTATTCCTGATATAACAGAACTTTGGTATTAGAAGGAAATACTAAATGATTCACATTTAATTCATTATTTTCTCCGTCCACCAAAAGAATTAGTTGAACTTCAACACATTTTTTAGCTTTTGGCTCAGTGAATTTACTATGTATATTTTAAAGTTTATCTTTTTTTTAGATGTTGATGGACCTTTTTTAGATGTTGATGGATGGTTTGCAACTCCCTGATGATTAGTGATGTTGAACACCTTTTCCTACTTCTGTTGGCCATTTGTTTATCCTCTTGGTAGAGATGTCTGTTCAAGTTTTGCGCTCAGTTTAATTGTAGTTTGCCATTCAGTTGTATGAATTCACGTATTTTGGAAATTAACCCATTGTCATATATGTGATTTGCAATATCTTTTCCGTATTCTTTAGGTTGCCTTTCCTTTCCACTCTGTGTATTATTTTCTTTTTGTACAGAAAATTTTTTAGTTTGAATCCCATTTGTCTACTTTTGCTTTTGTTATCTGTGTTTTTGGTCTCATATACAAGGGGACATTTTGCCAAGACCAATGTCATGAGGATTTTCCCCTGAGTGTTTGAATGGCCAGTTGGAATGTCCACTACAACATTCCTGAATCTTACCTGTTCCTTGACCTCTCTACCCATTGCTGACACCCACTAGCTTGAATCAGGGCTGCCAAAATGCATGGTGCTGCCTGGATTAGGCAGTGCATTAGCCAGACCACTATGAATGATGGCCTCAAAGGCCTCAAAGGAAAGTTTTTGGTATCCTCTATCTTTAGGCAAGAGGAAAATTGTTGGTGTCATCATGGTCATTCTTTGAGTGATTAAAAACCCACTCAAAGGGGAAATAGGAGAGGTAAGTGGTTGCAATGATAGAGCAAGGTTAAAAATTGTATCTCTCTTAATGAGAATGATACTTAAAAAAAAAAATCTTTCTTTAGACCCCTTAAAAGACCATGTCTGGGGGCTGGGATTGTGGCTCAGGGGTAGAGCACTCGCCTAGCATGGGCGGGACCCGGGTTCGATTCTCGGCAACACATAAAAAAAATAAAGTCATTGTGTTGTGTCCATCTACACCTAAAAAATAATTTTGTTTTAAAGACCATCTCTGTACTTCTGTCAACAAAAGGATCTAAGTTTAGAGCCACCACTTCATTCACCACCCGTTTACTTCTTAACCTCATGAAGTTGGACTTCTGTCCTTATCAAGAAGATATATTGCTTTCAATAATATTAACGATCTCTTAATCATCAAGTTCTCCTTGTGACATTGACCTCTGATGACAGTGCTTTCTTGGAAAGCACCTCCTCCTAGCTTCCAAAAATCTATGCAACTCAGCAATAGCACATTTTTATTGAGTGTTTATTATGTGTCGAGTACTTCCTGGGGTAGGAAAACCAAGATAATAGATGGTAGATGGTTGAAGAAACTGCAGGTGTAACTTTGATAAGCAAAGATTAAATCAATTAATATGAGGAAAAAATGTTCCAGTAGAAATAGAATGCAAGCTATGCGTGTAATTTAAAACTTTTTAGTAGTCACAATAAAAAAGACGAAATACTGGGCTGGGGTTTTGATTCAGTGGTGGAGCGCTTGCCTAGCATATGTTAGGTACTGGGTCCAATTCTCAGCACCGCATATAAATAAATAAAATAAAGGTGCACTGACAACTAAAAAGAAGAAGGGGGAAGTACATATTAATGTGTTTTCAATTGATATACCACAAATTCAACAGATAATCAATATTAAATTACTAATGAAACATATTATTTTTGTAACTAAGTTTTCAAAACCTGTGTGTATATATTTTTACACAGGAAACCCATCTCAATTTAGACTAGCCACACATTAAACATTTTATAAACTGATGGCTGTATTGAACACAGATAATCTAGAGAATGAAAATAGAATAAATAGAAGAGAGACCACCTCCTTTTCTTTGGCTTAGAAATAATATGACATTTACTAACAATGGAGAATCCTGTCTAGTTGTATAACTAGAATTGAATCTCGTTCGATTCTCAGAGGATACTCTCTATTTCGAATGAAGCTCAAGCCAGGGATAAATTAGTTGATGTTAATGACCCTCAACCAATTACCTTTTCAAAAAATAAAAGGAATGTGTTTGGTGACACTAATTTAGACAATGCAGAGTTGTACAAAGAAATATTTAATAATTTTTTCTCTTTTACTCCCCACCTCTGAATTAACAAATGTTAATAGTAGGGTATGTATCCTTTCAGATCTTCCTCTATACATATTCAAAGCTATAAACACACACACACACACACACACACACACACACACACAATTTTTAATTTTGAAAATGAGAACATGAAATAAAAGCATTCCATAGTTTATGTTTTTTATTAATATGTTGTTGATATCTTTCTACATCAATACATGTGTATCTTACTCATTTTTAAATAACTGCATCATTCTCTAGGTAACTGCTATTCCATAATTTGTTTAAATTTTTACCTGTTGAAGTTATATCAGGAGCTTCACAACATGTCTCCTTCCTCACCTCTGATTTCAGACACACCTGAAGTGGACAGTTTCACGTGAATACAGGATTAGCTTCCACTGATGGCATTTTGCCTCATGTAGGAGTCTTGAGTTTTTTTGATTCTTTTTCCCTAGAATTTCTTTGTGCTTCTGTGCCCACTTCCTGACCACAGTGAACTATTCCATAAATTATTCAAGGGCCTGTTGTCCTCAAGGGTGATCATATTCTATTCTTAATTTGCTTTTTTTTTTTTTTTTAGCCACCCCCCATACCTGCCTGGTCCTTTGCTTTGGTCTCTGAAGTCACTTTCTGAATAAACTCCATGTTGGTGCATCTTCTCAAACTGATTTAAATAAAATGGTGTGTCATATTGCTGTAATTTTCCTTCTACTGACATTAGTGAGATGATCATCTTTTTAGGGATTTTTTAGGGGGTACTGGGGTTTGAACTCAGGACCACTGAACACTCCAATCCTATTTTGTATTTTATTTAGTGACAGGATCTCATTGAGTTGCTTAGTCCCTTGCTTTTGCTGAGGCTGGCTTTGAACTTGCGATCCTCTTGCGTCAGCCTCCAGAGCTTCTGGGATTACAGGCATGTGCCACGGCCCCCAGAATTTTTGTGTTTTTAAAGATTTATTTATGTCACCTTATTCCAAAAATAATTCCCAGATAGATTAAAGTTATAAATGAAAAAGATAATAAATACATTCAAAGATAATTTAGACTATTTTTTAACCACATGGGAGGGAAGACATTCATAAGCAAATAGCTCATACAGTTTTAACCATAAATAAAAATGGATAAATTTGACTTCATTAAAATTGTGCTTTTTTTTAGGTTTGTTTGAGCAAATTGTGCCATAAACAAAATCAAAACACAAAAGATAGTCTGGAAAAAACATCCACAATAACATACAACAGACATTATGAATTGATATGAGAAAGCCAAATTGTCTTATAGAGAAACAGGCAAAGAAACAAGAAAATATGTGACATCTTCCCTCTTATTAGCAGTATAATTCTCCACATTATTTTTAAGTGCACACACAAACAAACTGAGGCCTGTGAGCATGGGACCAATCTTTTGAAGAGAATGTCTCAAATGGAAGTCACTTGACTTTGGGAATACAGGTCAACTACCCTGGAATTTGAGGCCATGACTGTGTA